AAATGAAAATGCAATTAACATGTTTCTAGGCAGCAAATTTTTCAGGTTTGATTGCAAAGGCTTCATAACCCAGACCACCTCTTACTGTGGCCTCTGTGCTTCCGGGTGCAGGTGTCAGGCCCCCTGGGGGAAACCACAGCTATTCCAAATCAGCAAGTCACTGTTACTTATGACTCATCAGGAGAAAAACTGTTGACTATAATCAAGTGTGACAGTTTCTGAATGGTCAAATTTAATCACCCTTTTTCAGTTGGGCCTCAATTCTGCATGTGTTGTGCATCTTGTTGTGAAATATCCAACTACTGAGGAAATATATAAGCAGGGCAAAGTAATACAGAAATTGAATAGCAGAGCCAGTGCCCTTTATCTTTCACTCATTTTTAGAGATGGATGTGGCCTTGCAATTTGGGGATTATTTCTTATAACAGCATTCACCCAGGGCCATGTTTATGCCATAGCCTTCCTACATGAACATTTCCCAAGGCCAAGCAGCCTCTGCCTTGTAAGGTCTGTAGGACCAGCTGATTTTGAAGCAGAACCAGTGATGAAAGCCTCAAGGGTGAAGGCCCTAGAGAACTTCCATAACTAGTTTCCCCCACAGCCAACATATACACTCAGACCGGCCTTTAGGAAGGAATCAAAATTCGAGTTATAGAATGGGGGGTGTGGGGGTGTGGAACTGCGTGGATCAAAACCTGCCCTTAAATCAGAGCCTATGACAGGTTCCCATCTGAGAACACCCACCTGGTCATCTGGCTTCTCAAGCCCGACCTTGCTCTCCTCCCTTCCAGGCCCTTCACGATGCATTTGCAGTGGGCTTGAATTCCCATAACCTCTCCTCTCGAGCTTGCTACTTCTGTCTTTCCTTTCCTGGCTAGTGGCGTCATTATCCAGTTGCCCAAGATAGACATACAGAAAGCGCCCCTACCTCCTTGTCTCTCTGCTTCCTTTTGATTCTACTGCTGATAGTTCGCTTGCAGCCATCGATGCATCTCATCTCTGTAGGTGCTGCCCTAGAACAGGACTCATCACCTTCAACAGAATGTTCCCAGATATTCTCCCTGTTCCCAGTCTCTTCTGCCTTCAATTAAACCTCTATACTGCCACCTATATATATGTATTTCTGTGTCTCAGGTCTCATATGATCATGCCTTTGTCTTGTCCAAAACCATTGATGCATCCCCGTTGTCCATACAGTAGAGACAAAACTCTTTGGCTTGTTATTCAAAGGTTTTGATAATCTGTTTCTTGCTCATTTTCCAGGCTCACTTCAGGTCCCTTCTTAAACCTTCATCACTTTATAATCCAGCTGAAACACATCGTGCTTTTAAGAGGCTGCTTCTTTGTCCTACAAAGGTTTCCACTTACCTGCTGACTTTGGACTTAATGGCACCTCCTTTTTTAGCTTCTCTGGACTTTCAAGCCTGTTTCCTTACCTGATGGGAGAGTTACTTGTTCCTGTATTTATGTTCCCTCAGCACGTTCTATGTTCCTCCATTACAATAGCTGGCACATTGCTTTGGGCTCTGGTTTACATAACGGTCTCTTCCGTCTTATCACCAGTTGCGTAGGGCAAGGCCTGTGTCTTGGCCTCCAGCACTTCCTTGGCAGATTCCTCCACTCACTTCTTTATTAAGCATCTGCTATGCAGTGGTGAATTAAAACAGTAACAGATAAGTCAGACGTGGTCCCTGCCATCTGGTCTACAACTTATACTCTAGTGGTGGAAATGAAACAGCATCCAGAAGATGATGGCGTCTTAACTAGAGTGGTCTTGGTAGAGAGGAGATATTCAGGAAGTAAAATGGATAGCAATTCCTTATTGATTCAGTACAGGAGATGAGAAAGAGTAAAGAGCCAAGGATGACCTTTAGATGACTGGCTTAAGAACTATGTGGATCTTAGGTTCCGTTAATAGAAATTAGAGAATAAAACCTAAAAACAGGATCAACTTTTTGTTCCCTATGATTCTTCGAACTAGAGGACTGAGTTTACTTGAGGGATAGAAGTAAACTTGACTGTGTTTAGAACTAACATACATGTTCAGAAAAGTATCTAAATGAATTACAGTTTTTACAATTTTAGTAGAAACATTAAGCATGTATATATGTGAGCACTTGGTAAGATTACATCATGTTGTTCTGAAAAGCTGAAATTAGAAAAATCACTTATAAGATTAACTATTAAATGCATTTAAATAATGGTCCTTTATATACAGCTACATATGCACGAGGAGAGCTTTATAAACCTATATCATGAGTGTTAGGTCAGTTTCTCGTCAGCAACATTATAAAGTAGTGATATTATTCATAATAGGTTTTTTAAAGCAAGGTAATACATTTATTGCACAGTTCACATTACTTCCACAATTGAAGTATTTTATGCTGTTGGTATCAGATTTAATTACCAAATTCTGGACTAAATTATTCATGTTTTTATATCAAAAATGAGGATTTGCTGGCATGGTGAGTTTGAGGAATTTTTCTTTTATTTTGGGGGAATAGTAAATAAAATCAGAAAATATTTATTTACAATTTGGCTGTCTGTGTCTAATGATATGAAAAGTAGATTGTTAAGACCCAATAAAAACTGTTTTTGCAGCCATAAAAGCAAATATGAAAAGAACTTGACATTTAGATATATACAAAAATGGTGCCAAGATCATAATTTGAGCTTTCCAAAAGCAGACCTTGTAGCTAAAGTCTAAATATAAACTCAGGGATTTACCATCAGATGGAACTGTTACAATAGCGGTGTTATTTCATTGAAGGTGTTAGTAATAGAAATATAACAATTTAAAATCAGGAAGTAATATATTATCAGTAGATTATATACCTAATCTATGACTCTATACACTAACATTATGATAATTTAAGATTTTAAAACATTGACATCTTGTGATATTTATAAAATAGCATATAATCTCAAATTGAGTTTAAAACTTTACAAGCACTGTAACTGTATCTATTGATTATTTTAGGCTTAGAATTGGATTTGTGTATTATAAAGTTCTGAATTCCATCAAAGCTAGCTTGATTAGTTAAGGCCATGCTGTTGCTACATGACTTTATTTATAGAATCTAAAGGTTTTAAGGTCAAAGTCAAATTGATTTAACTATGAATCTATCATTTTGGTGTGATTAATATTTGATATGACTAATCGAGTAATTCTGTGCCGTCTTTGGGCAGCAGTGTAGTGTTATAGGAACAGGACATGTGGGGTCTAAAACTTGACTCTGGCACTGGGTGACTTTGGTAAAAATGCTTAACTTCTAGGTGCTTTGGTTTTATTTGTAAAATAAGCATTGTAATACTTACTGCTTGTAGCTTTGTTATAAGAATTAAAGTAAGTTAATGCCACATGTATTACATATGATATATAATAACTAATTAATTAATTAAACTAATTAAATTATGTAATCTATATAGAGAGCTAGAGATAGAGATAGAAATATCAGTGCCTTTTGCATAGCAAGTGTTTCTATTATTATACTGGTTTGTTTTTGGTGTGTATTTGAAAGTTAAAACAAAACACATGCTTAAAATACATTAGAAATAATGGTATTCTGTAAATTTTATGGAGCTATCCACAATTTCTCCAAATGAAAAAGTTTTGTTATTAATTTTCTTCATTCAACAGTATTTATTTGTCACATTTGTAGACACTGGGGATAAAGTTAGTATCTTCATGGAGTTTATGTTCTCGTAGGCAGTCAGGTGCCCTGAGCTGCAGCCCGGGAGTGGTCAGCTCTTGAGATGGAGATTTGAGCATCATTCCTGAAAGGATGAGGAGTTGAAATGATATCTTGTTCATATTGTTCCTCACAACATCTAGTCTAGTGTTTTGCAAACACTTGACATTTAATAGAGGTGGCAGAATGAATAGAATTCACCCTTTCTCTGAATGGTGTCACATTGTCCCCTCTTCTGGCCTTCATCTCCGCCTACCTCCAGTTAAAACCTTCCTGGACCTTCCCACTTTTGCATCTAGTATTAGTTTTCTCTTGTTGCATAACAAATTACCACAACCTTAGCAATTCAAAACAACGTTCATTTACTATCTCCATGCACAGCATAGATGCATCTTCTGATCAGCGTCTCAAATATTGGCACTCAAGGTGTCAGTTGTGCTGCATTCTTATCTGGAGACTGAACTAGGGAAGAATCCACTTTCAGACTCATTTCCTTGCTACTGTAAGACAGAGGGCCCCCGCTTCTCGCTGGCTTTTGGCAGGAGGCCGCCCTCCACTTCTGAGAGCAGCACACACACTTCCCGCCCACGTGGCCCTCTCCATGGGCAGCTCACAACAGGACCGTTTGCCTGCTCTCTCACTCAAGTCAGCTAAGATGGAATGTTGCATAAAGGGACATATTCATGGGTGTGGCGTTCCTTCACCTTTGCCATAGTCCATTGATTAGAAGCACATGACAGGTTCTGCCTGCAGTCTGCCTGCACAAAGGTGTGGATTCCAAGAGGTGGAATCTTTGGAGGTCACCCTAGAGAGCGTTCACCATTCTCCGCACCCCTGGGAAGTCCCTGTAAGGCGTCCTGTATACAGGCAGCTCTATCTTATTGCATTACCGTATAACGCTCTGCTATGCATATGCCTGTTTGTCTCCACCTTTATATGCTTCATGGTGGAGATGTTTGCCTGTTCATCTCTCTGCATCCTTTTGCATTTAGCATAAAACTTCACACTCAGTTGGCCTCAGTGATTTTTTTTCAAACAGGTATAACCAGCTGTACAAAGAACTTTCAATAAGTGAGGGTGAATATAGGGCTAACATATTGCAAACTTTAGAGCACATTGCTGATAATTTTTTAAAGAAATAGTCTAATTGATTAATAATATACTTGGAGTCGTACTGCCTTTTCCTTCATGACAATTGGTGAAATGAATTAGAAGATACAGTAACAGAGTTGTGTAATAATAAACTTTTTTTCATGATATACTCTCATGATACTGTGTTATCTAATTTGATTTTTTTTTTTCTTCTAGATGAGCAAGAGATAGTACAAAAACGCACTTTCACAAAATGGATCAACTCTCATCTGGCCAAGGTAACGGAAACTACCCAGAGTTCTGTGTTGACTTAGCTGGAGACAATAAATCATGAAATGTGCAGTATAAAGGAATGCTGCTGTCACTGTTGTCGCTATTACTAATCAGGGATATTGACTGTTATCAGTTTACCTGTCACCTACATATAGCATTCACTCATGTTGCCTCTGAGAAGAAATGAACAGATAGCTAGAGTCAAGAGAAATTACTTCATGTCAGTTTCATGAATCTTGATGAACTATTTCATCCAAGACTATTGCCTCTGTATTAATAACGTGTGTATCATATGAAAAGGAGAATCAATTGGTACTGGATTTTCATTTGTGTGGTTGTTCGAATTGGCACAGAAAGAAGCAAAGAGTGGTCTGCTCTGAGCCAAGAATTTTACCTGAGAAGATCCTGTCTCCCTTCGTAGTGCTTTTGACAGAAAAGTAGCCATGGTGGCAGGACACTAAAAAGACTAATTATTCTGAGATTTTCCATATTGACATTAAGTTGTATCAGGGGACTGTATTTGTACACTGCAATGACCTTGAACATAAATACTAATATAAAGCAAATCCCAATATAGCTACATTATGTTAAAACAATCTCTTGTAACGCTGATGGAAAAATATGCAGCCCCCTAAATTTTGCGTTTGTAAAGTTCATGCAGACGATGGGACAGTTGTCTGCATTCAGTTAGAGGACGCTTTGGCTGAGAGTGGCACCCGTAGTGCACAAGGCAGAACCCTATGGGCAGTTTGGGTCGGGACTTCCCCAACGCCCCTCTTATAGTTCAGAAGAAAATGAAGCTTGGCGATGTATTGCCCATTGTACAAATTAACTGCTTACCTACCAAGTGTCTCTGCTACGCTTTGGAGACAAGACAAAACTTAGTATGACACTTTCCCAGGCTTGGAGAAGTTTACAATCCAGCAAAAAACAGAAGACTAGAGCAATGCTTTTATATATGTAATGAGTTGGGATTCTGTCTCCTATAACCTCTTTCCAAAAGCCCTCGATGAGAAGGGAATTCTCTGGCACAGTGGTTGCAACAGATTGTGCCTTGTCCCCTTGCAAATGCTCCAAGAATGTTAGCAGTTTCCCTTGCAGCCCTGCTCCAGGGCCAGCCCCGTACCTTCCCTGGTTTTCTTGTCTTCAGTGCTTTAGAATCTGAAATCGCAGCACTTCTCCAGAACCTGTAGCAAGATGAAGTTCACCATGTCTTAAACTACTTTGTATGGTTTCATATTTCACCTTCCCAGCACCATTGTAAAATGTTAAGGCATCTTCTACTTGGTGGGATTTCTTTACAGATGTTCGTAGCTCTAAGCACAGTGCTGCGTGCCATGCAGAGCTGTTTAATAAAACAACAGCAGCAAAGAGACTTTATCTTTTCTTGTTGTGTTGGAATAACAAAGAAGACATCAGTGGGGGAAGAAGTAAGGATGCATTTCTGGCACTGTGCCGAGTGCCTGACACAGGTTATTTTATAGCATGCCTCTTTATAAATCAGTGCCACTGAGATTTTAATCCAGACAGGAAGCTAAAGTCCATGTGTTTTCCTTACTTCACACATTTTTGCATCAATAGTATCATTTTGAAAGATCCAGAAAATGATTACCTCCACGACGTCTCCATTATAACCGTAATGTGATAGAGCTATTTTGTTCTTCTTTTTTTTCTTCTCTTCCCCCACCCCCTGCCACTTGGGTCATCTTGAAAACTGAAAACTGAAGCAGACCAATGATACCTACACTTGTTATCCTGAATTTATTTATACTGATATTGTAGTATCTTGCCAAAGATAGCCAAAACCCACAAATTCACTGGAGATCATTTTCCATTACTGACTCTCTTATATCTGGAAAAGATTCTGAAAATCACATCTGACCCCATTACCCTCATTTGGCAGCTGAGAGTTTACGATAGCTGTAGGTTGATGTTTATATCTGCCTCTGTCTCAGCAGCAGCTCACCTGATCCCCTACTCGTCTCTCTCCCTCTTCCCCATCCTTTGCTCACCTTCATCCCAATTTAAGTTTCTATTTCCAGCCCTATTTCTTTCTCCTTCTCCCATCCCTGTACCATCTCTGTGTCGCCCGTCATCTATCCTCCTCCATTACGCCTCCACCCAGCTTTTCTGTCTCTGTCTCAGCCTCCCCATCCCCATCTTTATCCTCATCTCCAACCCTCTTTCTATCTGTACCCTATCCCTGTAAAAACACATGCAACCTGCACATTCTAGGCATCACGGTCTCATTGAGGTCACGTTTACATATACACCCATATTGAAATGGAAGCACACACTTCCCTCCCCATCGCAGTGTGCCCACTTACTTCTGAGAACGATAATATCTCACTTGTCACAGAAACAAGGTCAATTCCATGTCTTTGATCCAACCTCTGGACCATGGCATTGTGTCACTTTTCCTGCTGTCTCTGTGAGAAGGCTTGCTTCCAAAGTTGTTCTGTGATGCTAGAGTGTGCTTGGTCCTATCACTCTGGCACCCTGTGTACATGACACAAGCCAATGTGTGCATATCTGTGTGCGTGCGCGTGCACACACACACACACACACACACACACACACACACACACACACACACACTCAGCCAGCTAGGCTCCACAGAAGCATATGTCATGCCCAGACTCTCACTAAGTCTCTCTCATGAAAATGGCTTCTTAAACTTTTGGTCCTTGACTCCTGATCACCCATCAGCAACACGCAGATGTCTCCCCTGACAGTAGGTTTTCAGTCACAGAGCAGGCCCAAAGCCACACGTAGAATAAAAATATTTCTCACTAAAAATAATCCAGAAAGAAGCAACTTTACCTGTTTCAGGGTCTTTCCTTACCCTTCAGAGCTTCTTGAAGACAACTTTTCCTCTTCCTTCTTATTATTAAATAACCTAAATAACCTATTAAATAACCAAGGCCAATGGTTTGTCTTATAACTAAGAAAGGATGGAACCATAATTCCTTTCGACTTTGAAAGGATCTGGTGTCCTGTAATTTATTAGGTATGATTGAATCTGGTTTGGTGTGCTGCTTGTGTTGTTTGTTTACTTTGCCTAGTAAATAATCAATTTAAACCCAATATTAGCCAGCTTGGGCTGCTGGAACAAAATGGAGCGCTTAAACAACAAACATTTATTTCTCACAGTTCTGGAGTTTGGGAAGTCCAAGGTCAAGGTGCTAACTGATTTGATTCCTGGTGAGAGTTCTCTTCCTGGCTATGTCCTCACATGGCATGGGGTGGGGGGGAGAGAGAAAAACTCTGGTCTCTTCTTCTTATAAGTCCATTAATCCCCCCATGGGGGCATCGCCTCAGGACCTCATCCACACGTAGTTACTTCCCAAGGCCCCACTTCCAAGCACCATCACATTAGGTGTTGAGGCACAACATATGGGGACATACAAACATTCAATACATGACAGGCCCCAAGTTCATTCTGAGGTCTGGCCTGAAGCACAGGAGAATTCCTTCCAAACCTGTAAAACAGGGACAGGAACTGGATCCTGGAGTGATGGCAGTAACACTTCTTTCCTCTTTCATAGCAAATGTTTCCTGCTGTGGTAATGAACCCCTGTTGTTCATTGCTTGTCTTTGGAATTGTTTCAGATAATCTCACAACCAACCCATTTAAAAGAGTTAAAATACATTTTATTTCTTGTGTGGGTTTTTTTCCTACAATTTTCTGTTGGCATCTACCAATAAAGGTCAGAAAATGACCCACGTCAAAAATATTTTTTATGCAAGTACTCAAGATATTAGTCTTAATTCACCTACTACTTACGCTGTGTAATGCGACAAGTTATTATATCTTTAAGACTAAGAATGGAGAAAAGTGTTAAATTGGGAGAAAAAAAAGTTTCAAGTTTTTTCTAGAATGCAAGCTATAAATGTTTTTCAGGATCTCTATTGTTTGAGAGCTTTTGCACAACAGTCATGGGACTTTTTGTGGATTTAAACTAGAATGATAAACCATTTCATCCTAAATTCTGTGATAATGTCTTGCTACTTCAATGCCTTCTTTAAAGTTTTCAAGCAAACTAAAAACACTTCTATTTTAAAGGACAATTAAAAAGACTTCTAATTTAGAAAGTTTATATCTGTTTTCTCAAAAAGCTTCTTTGGAAATTGACCATTTCCAAAAATAGCTTTAATAGTAGGTTGTAGCAGGTTAAAGAATTAGGATGTTGAATTGAGAAGCAATAAAAAAATGATCCTTCCGCTTGAGATTGTTCAGTCTTGCCTGCCTTGGGAGATGTTCAAACCATGCTTCACAAAGATGAATTTGGGGAGTGTTTTTAATGGGAAATTTTCAGTTTTGTCCTTGGCTTCTTTGTTCAGTTGCAAATGAACAAACTGTTTATTTCTAATTAAATATAACAATAAGCTCTCTTATTGATGACATTTCATTCTGTTGCAACAAAATTCTTTATAAATATTATGACAGCAGTACGAAGAGATATGGCGCGAAGAGAGCAATCTGTTTTCAGAAAATATACTTTTCTGAAGACAAAAATCTTATTACAAGTAGGGTAAAGAACTTCAAAATTTTCTGGGTTTGTGTGTGTGTGTGTGTGTGTGTGTGTGTGTGTGTGTGTGTGTGTGTGTGATTTTTAGTACACAGAGGTAGATTACTCAAATTTGTGGATATAATTATCAGGTCTTTTTTTTCGCTATTTGCTTTGTTTTCAAATTGAAGTTTTTATGCTCTGCAATTATATGAAACATTGCAAATCACAAATTGTCAATATAATGTAATTTAACAATAACAAAAATTAGGGGGTTGAATTTATTTCATATACTTGATAATTCAGTAATGAGGCTTCATATTTAGATATGAACCCTATAATTTCCTTGCTTTTCAAGAAGAAAACTGCATCTTTCTATCGTTTGCTCTTCCAGTGAAAGAAGGTGGAGTATTTATTTTTTAATTTGCTCAATGTTGATTGTCAGTAATGGCTTACCAAAGTTAAGTCCTCATCAGTTGTAGCGCGTCATCACT